TTATTCCAGAAGACAAAAATGAACTATCAAAGGCAGCTATCGGTGACAGGAAAGGCAACTGTACTGGGCAGTACTGATTATTAAATGAAAAGCTTGGGTGAGGCTACAGAAGAGAATTACTTATAGAGGATATCCGGGCTCTCTGCGTTGGTGCTTACATTGAATGCCGCACTAAAATTGACGTCGTGGCTGTCATGTTCTAGCGCACAAACAAGACTAGGCATCACTTCTATGATAACGTTTTATCTTCACGTCCTATTTCCTTGCTCAGAATGTTAGACACGCTTTCAAGATGTATGTCACAGTTCTAGTGACGAATCGCAGTTACAGGCGTTACATATATATAGTTTTCACCTCTATATATGTGAAGGCTGCAATAGATCTAGGTTATGGGAAGTATTGGTGAATGAAATTGTTTAGTATAAAGAGATTGCTGATTTGTCGTATGTGAATTCGAGAGCATTTAATGTGACCGGAACTAGTCTATGGGGTACATTGGAAGAATAGATCTAATTATATTTCACTTCACTACAATAACAAGGCCACAGTGCTGAATTACATTAGAAACTGGATCCTGCCAAATATAGACAATCATGGCCGACGCAGAAGCAGTATGCTCGAATTTCAACAAAATAGTCACTGTTCGTCTTGAACTATTCCAAGGGCACTATCTTAACTGCGGCACTCTGTACCAGAACAGCCTAGAACTATAATGCCTCAGCCTCGTACCTGTCGTCTTTTACCTGCTGCTCCTTCTTTATCATTTCTACTATTACTTCCGCTGTTTCCCTCTCCGCATCTAAAAGACCAGTACGCAATACCTCTTCCTTTCTCTCAGCACAAAAGACATCGTATTCTCGGTCAAATACGATGGGGTTGGCGCTTATCTGAATAACGGGTGTGGGACATGCAATATATGTATAGAAGGAAAGGGAGGCAGTCAAGGTGATGGGGAATTGGTCGACTGGTAGATTTTGATACAATCTTGTGCAAACATAGGATTTCACGATACTGGTCTTGCCATTATAACTACCACAAGGACTATACAGATGTGTTTTATCTGCTCGAGCATCGCGGCTTCATGCTAATCAACAAACAGAAGTACATGTACACCTACATTCAGCACACCATCCTTTGTATTTACAACGAAGACTTTGGAGTTGTATTCTGATGTGTTGGTAAATGAGGCCGATTCGATGATAGTTTGAACTATTATAGGGTCGACAATACGAAGTATGTGAGTGATTCGGTGCAGAGGTTCTGCATCGCAGAGTGGCACAGGTGCGGAGCCATCACAGCGACATCCTGGCTTCAAACAAATTCATGTTCCCGGTCCTGAAGGATGCCCGGCTAACTTCCCTAGCAGGACAATCATGAACGAAGTAACGATATATGCACGCAATCGCGCTGCGTATCCTACTCATCAAGCGCCTAGCCTCTCAACGTCTTATACGAGCCATCCTATCGCCTGCATTCCCAAATCTCGCCCCTCGCCAGAAGCGGGAACGATGTGACCTTTATCCCGACACCACAAGACAACGTGTCAGCACAGCACAGCACACCCTACATGTACGCGGTGTCGCGAATCATCCATACAACTGCCTCTGTCAATCACTGAAAAACTGAAGGTAGTTGCTACTTAAAGCCGAGGTTCCATCATATATGCAATCTCATCCCCACTCATGCGAATCAACTCGGATTCGCATTGCGCAGATTAATCTCTGGCGCGCGGAAGATCATACGACGGTATCGGAGGGAGCCTGATAGGACGATATTGGCGACTCTGTATGCAGATCTTTACGTGCCGTATGTACGCACAGTCTCTTCCTTCGCATGTACGGTACAAATGTGACCAAACTTAGAATCACGCGAGTGCCACGACGAGGTTGGAGAGTTCCGGGGAAACATGCGAGATCGTGACACCTATTGCGGCATCTAGCTTCTTCAAGACGAATGAACGAGAAATGTGCGAAACTGTTGACACCGTTAATTTCGTGATCCGAGATTGACGGCCCGAGATTTCGTATATAGCGGCACGTATTCATCGTATTGCGGCAAGGTGAAACATTTAACGAATGTCGTTGGTCGATTTTGTGTTGGTTGTCGTACCTAATTCTCGGAAATAGGTGGAGCTTCAAAAAGATATTCAGAGAAGTCGTCTCATAACACGGCATCACTAAACAGAAGTAGCTAAAGGTATACGTCTCCGACAAGCGGCATCTCCGATACCTCGGAGTCGCAAGTAAGCAGCCGCTCCCAAGTCTTCGGTGTGGAGTGGTGCTGATGAGGACAAAGCGTAGATTAGCGAGCATCCAGCATACCTGATCAGGAAATCACGCGAAGCATAACCATGCAGCTGTCGCAACGTAGAATTTATACCGACCGCACTGTACGAGAGCCCTGGTGCATAATCATCCGTACTTCGAATACCCACTGGGGCCCCTTCTCAATTGAACACGTCCATCGCGTCGGCGGGGTCAGCGCCGTTGGGGCGGGTATGTTGTCTCCCTGAGTTCGACAATCCTCCTGACCCCACCGTACTCCTTTACAATAGCGAAGCCGGCGTCGGTGATGTAGAGACCCTTTTTCAGCAGTGGAGCAATGTCCCTCCCAGCCAATGCTGTAGACAAGTCCTTCGGCAATTCCAGTTGAGTCCGACACGGTCAGAGTGTTGGTAAGGTCGTGCTTGAAGGAGACAAAGATCTTGCTTGGTATGAAGTTGAAGTTGTGATATAGGTTCGGCCAGCCGTCATAGTCATAATGCGTGTTGTTGAATGTTGCAAAAAGAGATGTGGAGAATGTCGAGACAGATTCGGCATCCCAAGCACCGTTGGCAGGGTAGGGGGGAAGCCTAAGTGAGGGCGTGTTGCGAAATGAAGTGTTGAAACTTGAGGGAGTGTCTACGTACCATTGTCTTGGCACTCTAGCCATGAGGGGATGTATGCTGGCGTTCACTGCCGGGGTGAGCATGTAGGGACCGGTAGCTTAGTGTGCCTTTACGCCTACGGTATCTGCATACGCTGAAGCTGCCGTAAGACACGCCTCCCTGTGTTCATTAGCTACATGGTGACTCATAGTACAGCTTGGCTGTTACCCGCCAAAAAAAGTTCCCCAGTTACAGCTACATATCAACGAGCAGGGACGATACGATAATATCGGATAGAGTGTAGAGTGTTCAATGTAGGTATTCAGCGAGCAAGGCTGGAGAGTAAGACGTCGAATCGGAGGGTCTCGGAGGGTGTGGCTGACGATCCCTGTCCTCGGTGTATAACAACAAAAGACAGCAATTGCGACTTGAAGAGCGCTCTCAACCCCTACCATTACTATCACCACTTCATGCAGCGATAAATATCATTCATGAAGTTGCTGATGTCGAGTGTTTCCAAGTTGTCAAATGAAGCAATTATGCGAAGCGAGACATGGATGACGTACCGAATGAGGTCTTAACGATTGCCCCAAAGAGGACGATGACATGCCCGTGCATCTGATGCAACCTAAGGGTGCCCACCTGGTCGCCTGTTCGCCCGGGATAACTGATGTAGTGATCTTCGGAAGTAGGGATTGGTACGTGCTTTGCACGGATGCTTACGGTACAAGTATGATGGGCGTCGAGAATATTGGGACAAAAGTGCCACTGATTCATGTAGGAGTGATATTAAATCGGTCATATCCGCAGTATTTCTCGCCTTTCTCTTTGTCCGTACTCCTCCACTACCGGTATTCACTTCACAGAGCCGCACCAGCCTTCCGTGTCAATCAGTGCTTCGTGCGAGATCTAATAATGGAAGCCTCGCCGTTTGGACCCCATACAACGACATTTAAAGATCACTGGAATCGTTCGCCATCAAAACTGTACATACAACACCCAGCAGACATGCAGCAACACTATCGTCCCAAGCAGCGTCAATACCTCCAATGGCGGACCGACCAAGGCGAGAAAGCCTCGTACATCCGACCCCATCTGCGACAACTACGAAGCGAATGGTTCGCAAAGCGATACACTGATGCCAAATCCGCTTCAGAAAAAAGGCAGTCGCAAAAAAATCAGCATTCCGAGCTTGACAGTACAGACGAGACAGAATCGTGTACCGACCGTTTCGAATGCCACATCACTGGCAGATGGAAGCTATTCGAAAGCCCAGAGCCGGAGCTTGGGCGCGGGCGCTCCCGTACCAGACCAGAGTCTCACGAGGCCTTCAGTGTCAGTGAAGATCGTGAGCGTGGTTGATAGATGTTAATATCAACTAGCAATTCGGAACATGGGAGCATCCGTGGTAGTCTGAATATGGCACTGCAGCATGGAGACAGAAGTTATGAACGCTTTCAGCTTCAAAAATAGTGCTGGACTCAGAAGAATGACTGCGATCACTTGGGATAAAAACCGTTTCACAGGGAAAAACTAGATGGATGAGGAATCGAGACGGTCATCCAAGAAACGCAGGTCTTGATGAAGAGCTTGGAATTGTGCATGGAACAGAGGGCTAAAAAAGACGAGACGGCCAGTCCTGAAATGTGATTAAAGATCTCGATGGAAGCAAGCTGGCGAGGAGTGTTATTCGATGCAAGAATCGACTACTCGTGAGTCTGAAGGCTCCAAGGATATGATCCAGAAGGCGGTTACGGTCGTGTACAAATACGAATGTCGTGACGCGGCGCATTTTTGCCAATAGATCGGTCCATCTTCGGAGCTAGATTCAGGCAGTCACAGGAGGCGATTATAATGGTGTATGCTCATTTGGAGTATGTCGAAGGAAAGACAACACAAAGAGCCCTAGGTGATCCAGTAGCAGGATGAATAAAGCAGTCCCGCACACTGGAGAATAGAAATTACTAATTTCTGTAAGCTGAAAACCGTGGGTCTCACTTAATTGGTCGGTGAAAATTTTCGTATGCGATCGGTGACTGTGAAGGACCGGCCCTAGTTCGGCAAAAATGTTTTCCCACTATATGAAATAACGAAAGCTCGACATCTTTCATAATTCAAACAACAACAACAAAAAGCCCGGTTAGCTCAATCGGTAGAGCGTGAGACTCTTATCAGTTTCACTTTCTCAGAAAGCGATTGAATGGCATCTCAAGGTTGCGGGTTCGGTAAGTCATCATCTGAACAGCGTCAGTTCGAATTACACGCTAACATTCCATCAGACCCCCGCATCGGGCTATAACAGTGTTTCTTTTTTGCCGCTTTTTTTCCTTTTGACACAATTTTCGGATTTCCGGGTAAAGCAACTCCTGTCCTGGCGTAGAATATTGCAATGTCTTCGATCCCTAGACGTGGGGCCAACCGGCACCGGATTGTGATGATGCTTATTTTTTATTTGTGTCCTTTCGACATTTCTGTTCATGCGTCTTGCTTCCCCATCCCCCCGACTGCTCGGTGGTACTATGTTGTCCGAATCGTGGCATCTCCATACCCAAGGCAATAGTCATTGCCTCTTACTCACATACTTGTTCTTGAACTTGAAATGACGTGTCCATTTTTTCTCGGATTTGAAAGCTTCGGGCGACGTGTCTACAAGATCGAGATGTTTGCTGACACTGGCCGTTGTCTTCTTGGGCTCCGGAGTCAATATTCACATCGTACGACACACTAACCGATTTTGTTTTCATGCGAAACATATGGTGCTGATTTTCGATTTCGTTCGGGGCAGTGCAATAGCATACGACAGAATGGCGACACGGGGGGTTTGGAACACCAACTTGAAGCGACAGCGATTTGTGGACGACGGGGGATCTGTAGAGAAACAGGAGCGTCTACTTGGAAGAGTTGACGGATTAGCCAACCGTTGTTCATAGAGTAGACTGTTTACCTTCGTTGTACAACAGCGCGAGTATACATTGCTCTTCGAGAAGGTGGAGATAGCTGCCTCTACGTCATTCCCAAGCGCATTCATCTTCAAAGAATCGGCGTCACAGCGGCGGCATGCTCTATCGAAGCTAGCCACATCATAATATAATGTATAACAAGCAAGGAAGAAGTGCAAATAGTAGTAAGACGAGAGGGAAGTACTTCGCGGGCTGGTGAGCTTAGCTGTGGTGCTGGCGACTGAGGGAGGGGATAGCGCTAGTCGAGATAGGAGATAGTGGTCTTGGCGCACTTGACGTAATTCACAGAGCACAATAATAGGACCGAAATCCGACCAGCGAAGAAGGCAACCATCCGAATCCAATTCATCATCATATTATTCACCACGCATGCCGGCAAGGTTTTTCACACTGACCGATCTGTTCACGCGTTCGGGAAAAGACCGATCATCAACGTCCTGCATATTCGACGCGTAGATAATGGTAGGCAGCAGTGTAACTGCAGTGGCAACGTGCTAGGAGTGACGCACCGTATTATGGAACAAGCCACTACCTTTGTCCTACTAGAATGTCGGTACATACATACATAGGTATCTTCGGTAAAACAACTACTCACGTGACAAGTTCTCGACCGACAGTGTGTCTGGTATCAATCACAGCTGTATTTGTCGAAGGCGTACCTTCCATTATCTCCTGATCCATGTGCATGACCAATCACCATGGACACCTCATCAATCCTCTATCATGTTTTACATACATACTCGAGATATTTATCAAGGTTGCGTTGGACAGTCTGTTATTGATATCGATCGAATAATGGAAGTCGTATAGAGTAGTCGATGAGTAATTGTAATACAGATAACCAAAAAACGACCTTCACATTGAACTAGCTCGCTCTTAACGGACCCAACCTATGGCCTAATTATGTTGGAGCACTTATGGTAAACACGAGTCATGCAGATAACCGGTAAACCGTGTGAGAATTTTAAAATGCTACCTTGCGATATTTATCAATAATCATGGTATTATTCTCTACTTTTGGGAAATAACGTGGGTTGATTTGATAATATCCTGGAAATATCAGGCAAATACCCGAAAGCTCTTAGCACAAGTCCCACGCGTTCGCGAGGTCAGTTTGGGTACGTGTAATAATAACATTACTGTCGCCACCAGAGATTCCCCAGGATTACCACACTTCGCCGAACTTTTCTTGTATTATAGAGATACCAGCGCGCAGCCCTCAAATTGAGATTCACCACTCGGAGAGATAGTGCGGTGTTCTTCTGTTTTGACTGCCGGCGATCAACGTTCCCAGCTACTCAAAACAGAAAGCTTTGCAGACCAGTTCTGTACGTCCCAGGTCCTTTCCATGTCACCTCAGTAAGTGTCACTTCAGGCCTCGATATAGTAATTAAATGTACCTACTGAGAAACAACATCGTCTGGAGACACAACTTTAGAATTCTCGCAGCACTTATAATAAGCTCGACAACCGGCGTTACTAGCAACTCGTCGGCTTGATTATACTCATTTCAATTGCTTGCTAGACCAGCATACTTCAATCAAAGTAGCCCACCACGAACACGTTTTACTTCAAAAGAATGACGCGTCTTGAGAGAGAAAGCGTCTTCGAGCTCATAGCTCTTCTACTTGCCATACCCGGAGCGCTAGCAGCAGTCGCAACACTGACGCTTCTTTTACTGAAGCGACGCAGCCGGTCTACAGGTGCGTAGCGCAAGAATACATACCTATTTACAAAACACCCATGCTGATAATCTCACCATAGTCCGGGCGTTTAATACGAGAAGCCCCCAGCTTGACCTGGAAAATGCGCAGGTCCTGTCAGACACGGAGACCGAAGACGGCTTAACAGCGCACAGAACCGCACACTGGTTCCAGGACCAATACACGCATTTGCATCGAGAATTCACTCTCGAGCGCTCACAGTGGGCTGAGGAAACCGAGAATCTGCGACATCCTTCATCCATCCAAGAATACAACCAATAGTAGCTAACTAGGTAACCCCATTACCCGATGCAGCCAAGCGTACGCTTGAACCTTCATGTTCCCTAGGACAGGGCATAGACTACATCAAACACCAACATACCGCCAATCACAGGGCGAAGTATCAAACGCACTCCTTACATTACACGAACACTGCACCGGGATGTAAACGAGCCAACAATTGAGAAGATAGTATGTATGGCCCCCATGTGCAACATCCGTTACCGTCTCACTTACCCCTTGAGGAGAAAAGTATGCTAGAGCGGCGCCCATGCGTGCGCTTCAGCTGCACATTTGTAACAATGTGGTCTTGTTCGACTGACGGAAGGAATGTGTGCGGTGGAGGCTTATAGTGTTTAAATATACAGGTGAGCCCATGGCCCCCCTTTCACTTAATGATCACACTACTCTATCTACATGCGTACACTTTACATAGTTTAAATCTCTCTTGCAATGCAGCTCACCATCCAAATCCTCTTCGCCATCTTCGGCCTCGCCGCCGCAGCAGGAAAAACACACATCTACATCGACCAGATCCCCATCTACCCATCACTCAGGCCATGCGCGCAAGATCGCGTCAGTGCCATCATTCGCGCGCAGGCTTCAGGCTGTGGGGATGATACACAATTGACTTCCTTCGCCTGCTTCTGCATCAACTCGAGTACCGAGTATGCATCCATCATTTCTACAGCAGTGGCAGACGCATGCGCGAAAGCTACGGCGACTACAACATCAACCACACTTACGCAAGCGACTTCTTCGGCAGCGACAGGACCGACACAGACGGATGTTAAGAGTGCGCTCGACGTGTTTAACAGCTACTGCGCCAAGAGTACAGAGTTGGCGAGGTGTATGTCCTCTACTCTCTTTCCATCTCATCTCATCTTGATTCGACATGAGGAAATCGTACTGACAACGGCACAGTCGACCAACAAGCAACCTTGACAATAACCCAAGGCCCCTTACAAACACCATCGCCATCGACCACCTCCACAGCCCTCCCTAGTACCTCCACCTCCAAACCCAGCACCAACCTCGCCGCCATAATAATTCCCTCAGTCCTGCTTCCCCTAGCCGCCATCTCCGCTCTCTTCTTCTACCTCTACCGGCGACAAGCGCGCAAACTGCAGCTCCTCCAACACCAAAACGAAAGGTCGTCTGTCGAGCCATCCGGCTCCGTCCTTTCCCAAGCAAAAGACCGGGAACTTGACGCAGAAACCACGAGGCGATTGGAAATGTTTAGCGATCAACAGCGGGGAGTCGAGATGGGGTATACACCGTATGCGCCAACGTGGGAGAAAGACGGCCGTGTGGTGGCTTATGAGTTACACGACGAACATGCGGTAGAACTTGACGCTTCATTAATGAAGAAGCCATCGGAATAGACTGAATGACTGAACTGAACGAAGAGATGCGAATGCTGGAGAAGATGCATGCACCGATCAAGACGTCCCGCAATTTTACCAAGTCGATGATGACGCCACATCCAGACGGCTCCTCCGTACGACGTCTCAGGGTCTATGGGGCTGTGAGTTTGCATGTGGTTGCAAATACAGTTCCGCGTCGTTGTTTTACGTATACATCTAAAACTAAATGGGTTGAAAAGTGTACGGAAATTAATGACGTCGTACTGTGGTGGAGACGTCGAGGGAATCAATATGTAAAGAGCTTTAACAACCCGAATCACAAGCCGTTACACATTACTCTCGTACTATACAAAGCGGCGATGTCGAATAGTATGTGCAGAGCTACAAAAGAGACGAAATGCGCTGGCGAGAGGAATCATACGACGACAAGCGGAGATGAGTCGCTGCTACCGGGAGAGGAAAGACACACATACATTAGACAAGCAATAATCACACCGAATTCAAAATCAACTTTATTGCAGGAGTCGAGTATAAATCGATTGTTCATAGTTACATGCATCTTCACATTTTCATCCCATCCACATCCATATCCAGATACACAATCCTATCCCTCTACCTTTCCCCGTCAAATTAACCCCCCCCCCCCCCCCCACTCCCAAAAAGAACGCCAGATAAATGCCCGAAAAATGCCTAGCATTCCGAAAGTAAAATGCCAAATCGCTAAAGAAGTAGAACCAACAACAAGAAGGGGTAAGTAAGTAATCATCGTCATCATGTAGGGAGTAGAAGAAAACGGCTCAAAACAGGCCCTTTACTAATGAGGCGCCAGTCGTAAGAAGTCGTAATCGTCGTCGGATGCGTGAATGTGCCAAAAGAGGAGCATGCACATGCGCAAGCTAATTTCATCATTCCCACGCGAACGATAGGATAGATGG